TCTCTCTCTCTGTCTCCCTCTCTTTCTCCCTCTCTTTCTCCCTCTCTGTCTCTCCCTCTCTCTCTGTCTCCCTCTCTGTCTGTCTGTCTCTCTCTCTCCCTCTGTTGGCTTTTCCTGTGTTGGGCCAGGAATGGCTGTATCCTCTCTCTTCCATACAGCCCTTCTCCACACTATCCTGAGGATCCCTAACCCCTAACTCTTCATGACTTACATTTATATTGCATCTCAAGTGTGAGATCAAAGGAAATAGGAGCAGGAGTAGGTCATTCGGCCCCTTCGAGCCTGCTTCCCCCATTCAATAGGATCGTGGTCAATCTGATGTCCCACACCTTCCCTTTCCTGCCCTTTCCCCATAACCCTTGATTCTCCAAAGGATCAGGAATCTATCTGTCTCAGCCTCAAATATACACAAGAACCATGCTCCCACAGCTCTCTGTGGCCAGGAGTTCCAAAGACACTCAAACTCTCTGAGAGAAGAAATTCCTCCCCATCTCAGACTTAAATCAGTGCCCCTTTGTTCTGAGACTGTGCCGTCTGGTCATAGACTCTCCCAAGAGGGGAAACATCCTCTCAGCATTTACCCTGTCAAGCCATTAAGGATCTGACATGTTTCAATGAGATCACCTCTTTCTTCTAACCACCGGTGAATACAGTCCCAACCTGCTTAACATTTGCTCATAAGACAATCCCTCCATCCCCAGGGATTATCCTTGTGAACCTTCTCTGAACTGCCTCCAATGTCACAAAGCATTTCACAACAGCAATTATCAAACACTATCAAACAGCCTATAAGGATATACTAGGACAGCTGAGCATTAACCCATAAGGACCAACATAGAGAGAGAGAGAGAGAGAGCTGTGGAGAGGTTTAGAAAGGGAATTTCAGAGCTTAGGGCCCAGGCAGCTGAAGACCCAGCCATTAATGGTGGAGCGATGGGAAAATAGAACAGTAAAGCACAGTACAGGCCCTTCGGCCCACAATGTTGTGCCAACCTATTATCCTACTAAGATTAATCTACCCTACATACCCTACATTTTACTATCCTCCATGTGCCTATCCAAGAGTCTCTTAAAAGTCTCTAAAGTATCTGACTCCACTATCACTGCTGGTAGCACATTCCACATACCCACCACTCTCTGTGTGAAGAACCTAACTCTGACATCTCCCCTATACCTTCCTCCAGTCACCTTAAAATTATGTCCCCTCGCAATAGTCATTTCCGCCCTGGGAAAAAGTCTCTGGCTATCCACTCTATCTTTGCCTCTCATCATCTTAAATGGGAATCTAATGAAAAACAAAACTGAGGAAGAGGCATACTGGACTCCAAACATTAACTCTTTTTCTCTCTCCACATTTGCTGCCAGTGTTTCTCCAGCAATCTCTGGTTATTTCACATTTGCAGCATCTGCAGTATTTTACTTTTCTTCTTATTAATTAAAATCAAGAGGCTAAAGTTGGAAGAGTGCAGAGATCTCAAAGGATTGTAGGACTGGAGGATGTTCCAGAGACAGAGGGAGAAGCAACACCAGAGAAGGATCTCAAAAGAAGGAAGGGGGAAATTTGTCAATCAGTCTGGGTGAGCATGAGGTGATGGGGGATTGGGACTTAAGGAGAGGGAGGGGATCCAGGACATGGGAAATAGGGTTTTGGATCAATGCGTGTGTTTACAAGATGGGCTTGAGAGTTGATTGGACCAGAGCTGATTGGTGAGTCTACAAAAGGTAGGGGTTTGGATCCCAAGGGTGAAGGTGATGATGAAAGATGATCAGAGAAGATCAGACGAGATCAGAGATGAACGTGGGTGATCAGAGGTAAACTTGAGTTGTTTGAAATGGTTGTCCTGAGTGAGTTACCTGGATGGAGAGTGGGCGTCACTGGCCACTGAGAAACCACTGGAAGAGATGGTCTTACTGGTGTTGACATTCCACTCTGAAAAAGAAACAGCAGAAGTGAGCTCTGACTGAAATCTTCCAACAAACAGGCAGTTCACCCCTCCTTATTCACACACTCCTCCACCAATCACAGTGTAACCAGTCAGCACACTCTCCTCACACACCAACTGGTGGTATTCTTGTGAATTGTCCTGGTGAGGGCACAATTACAATCTTCGACAAGTCAACAGTTTTATTTTCAGTAACACTTTATTTTCAGCTGAGGATGCACTCACATCGGACTTGCACCTGATCAGATTTCTCCCGCAGGCAAAAGCCCTGCCATCGTAGATATCGTCATTGTCAATATGCTTCTGATGTTAGCCCTATTCCTGTATATCTCCCCCCGAGTCTTTGTCCCTGTGGAATATGAGCGTTGCTGGCCAGGCTGCCACTTATTGTCCTTTCCTAATTGCCCCCAAAGTGTCAGCCCTCACAGGGTTAGTACCCTGTGGTACCCTATCTCCCAGATTTGGTCTGGGTCCTCTGTTGATGATGTACTTTCCTGTCTGTTGGTGTATGTGTGCTTCTTCTGTGTGGCTGGAGAACTTATTTCTCCTTCATTATCATCCGAGCAATAGCAATTGGCTTCCTGTTTACAGATACAAAGACCCTGCAATTTCTTCTTGCAGTACCACAGCCCATCTCGACCATGTACAGTCTTGGGTCTGGGATGTTTTCAATAACTGTGGTATGTTAGTCCCAGACTCAGATTCTCCCTGGGTTTAAGGACTGGACACCCCTTGGGTCAGAGATAGTAGGAACTGCCGATGCTGGAGTCTGAGATAACAAGGCGTGGAGCTGGAGGAACACTGCAGGCCAGGCAGCATCAGAGGAGCAGGAATACTGATGTTTCGGGTCGGAACCCTTCTTCAGAAAACCTACTTGCTCTGTTGTGTGTGATTGAATTTCTGAGCCTGCAGTCCATTTCCTCTTCCTCTCAGTGTTTTAGCCCCTTGTGATGGTTCTGTGGAACATTAGGTTTTAATGTGTGTGAGAAAGATCGAAGTAATGTTCCCAGGCTCTGACTTTATCAGTAACATAATGATGGTGACCCATTCTGACAAGGATCAGTCATCCCATCCCTAACCCTAACCCTATCCCTATCGCTTTTCATTCCCTTCAGTGATGTTTTAATTGTTGATACCACTCTGGAGGTCTCTCTTTCTTGAGGAGAATGAGGTGATTTGGAAACATCCATAAAGCTACATCCGTTTGCAAAACTTTGGAATTGCTTATTTGCATATTGTCTGGGATTGCACCCACAGAATAAAATCTCCCAAGGGACTGGGTGATTGCTTCCTGCTGCAGGACCATGCAAACCAATCACTTCAACCCATCTTCAAACAGAATCAATCATTGCTAGGATTTTACTTTAACTTAAATAAAAAAGCTGGGAATCCTGCAGTGAGTAACTCCCCTCCTGACTTCCCAAAGCCTGTCCACTATCGACAAGGCACAAGTCAGGAGTGTGATGGAATACTCCCCACTTGCCTGGATGGGGGCAGCCCCAACAACGCTCAAGAAGTTTGACACCATCCAGGACAAAGCAGCCCCCGTTTGATTGGCACCACATCCACAAACATCCCACTCCCTCCCCCCACCGACGCTCAGTAGCAGCAATGTGTACTATCCACAAGATGCACTGCAGAAATTCACCAAAGATCCTCAGGAAGTACTTTCCAAACCCATGACCACTTCCAACTAGAAGGACAAGGGCAGCAGATACATGGGAACACCATCCCCTGCAAGTTCCCCTCCAAGCCACTCACCATCCTGACTTGGAAATATATCGTTCCTTCATGTCGCTGGATCAAAATCCTGGAATTCCCTCCCTAAGGGCATTGTGAGTCAGCCCACAGCACACGGACTGCAGCGGTTCAAGAAGGCAGCTCACCACCACCTTCTCAAGGGGCAACTAGGGACGGGCAATAAATGCTGGGCCCAGCCAGCGACGCCCACATCCCATAAATGAATATAAACCTCCATTCCCAGCCTCACCACTAGCTGTGATGAAAGACAGGAAGACAATGATGATTCCTTTCATGGCTGACTGATTAAAGAACATAAGAACATCAGAAATAGGAGCAGGAGTAGGCCATCCGGCCCATCGAGCTGCTCCACCATTCAATAAGATCATGGCTGATCTTTTTGAGACTCAGTTCCACTTACCCACACACTCACCATAACCCTTAATTCCTTTACTGTTCAAAAATCTATCTTTGCCTTAAAGACATTCAGCAAGGTAGCAGCATGGGAATACAGTTAGAAACTTTTCCTTCAATCAAAGGAGTTTTTTCTGGCCACCAGACTAACTCTTTCTACCTTGTTGTAATTCAATGGGTGTGATTAATCTCTCCTTTCAAACCAGGGTAAAACATCAATGGCAGTGAGGGGCCAGCACTGCGCAGAATCACGTTGGATCAGTGAAACTGTTACAGGGCAACAGGGGCCAGTCAGCCCATTGAGCCTGCACCAGCCTATTTGAATGAACATCATTGCCGAGTGTCACTTTCCTGCTTTTTCCCTACAGAACTTGCACGTTATTTTATCCAAATAACTATTCAATGCCCTCATGAATGTCTAATTTGGGAAATGTTAGATTATTGGGCTTGGCTGACAATCCAGACATTAACTCTAGACTTGAGGATATTCTTCATCGTGGGCTTGGACCTGCTTTATCTTTTGCCTCCTCCTTGCAGCTACTAGAAAGTGCAGCGTGATTAAAGACATGACATTTTGATGGTGTTGGTGAGACGGCTACTTTCCCTGGACATTATTGGCGATGGAACCACTCCATGTGATGGTCAATCTGACACGGTGGATTCCGGGCAGGACCTTGCCTCTGTCCTTAGCTATGACAGGGTGACTAATAATTTACAGTTCCACACAATTTGGAACCAGAATCCTGTCATTGTTACACTGGGCCAGGTTTGTGATGAAGCATCTCCCTCAACAGTAGCATGGCAGGGGGAGAAGGTGGCACAGTGGTGATGCCATATTGGTGAGATTGCATCTTCAATTTTCCAGATTCCAGGAAACACTTTCAGTATCAGCCTTCGAGATTCATGAGTGCTCCCACCAGCAACAACCTCATCATCATTGAACATTGATTCCAGTTTTAACACCAGCCTTTCCACTGAGCAAACAAGGATTTCTCAGTCCTTATATTCCACCTTCGCAAAGTGCTTGCCTCTCACTGTTACTGAGCTTGCTCCAGGATTTTGTTAACGAATACAGGAGAAGTACAATCTCGACTTTACTTCGACTGATAGAACAGAAACCCAATCACCTACGTCACGCTGTTAGAGGGTCAGTGCTGAGGGAGCGCCGCACTGTCGGAGGGTCAGTGCTGAGGGAGCGCCGCACTGTCGGAGGGTCAGTGCTGAGGGAGTGGGCACTGTCGGAGGGTCAGTGCTGAGGGAGTGGGCACTGTCAGAGGGTCAGTGCTGAGGGAGCGCCGCACTGTCGGAGGGTCAGTGCTGAGGGAGCGCCACACTGTCAGAGGGTCAGCGCTGAGGGAGCGCCGCACTGTCGGAGGGTCAGCGCTGAGGGAGCGCCGCACTGTCAGAGGGTCAGTGCTGAGGGAGCGCCGCACTGTCAGAGGGTCAGTGCTGAGGGAGTGGGCACTGTCGGAGGGTCAGTGCTGA